GAAAAGCTTACGAATACGCAATGAGAATAGTGCCGATAACGCGGTGCGTCTGGAGGTGACAAATCTGTAGTATTGATTATAGAAAATTTGAAAAGATGTCGTAGTACATCATGTGACCATTTTTAATGAGAACCTTCAGAACCAGGGAATCCCTTATCGATGCATTGGTTTCTGCCGTGATGTCACACAATGAGCGGCGCTGTTCGATTTCACCAGTTAATTTATGCACGTACGGATCCTCTATCCGTGATTTATGTCGGTGAATTCGCGTAATTTTTGTCGGTGAATTCATAGCGCTGTTAAAAACTGACCCATCCTGGCCTAGCATGCAACACTACTGGCACTCCACAGAGCGCGCGTAATTCCGAACTCAGTGACCTTTCAGACCCAACATTTCCGTTTGAAAAGGTGGATCAAGCATAAGTGGGAACGCGACTTGCGGTTTCGTTGTGGTAAGATAACGATCACACCAAAATGCCGGATCGTGATCCACCTTTTCCAAATTCAAGTGGGAACGCGGTGAAAGCTACCCAACAACTCTTAACCCATTGAAGGCCATAAACCTACTGATGCAACCATAGAGCATAGTGAAAGGACACAAGCAACAGTGAACGCAACAAAGGCATTGAAATTTGTGGGTTAAGGCAGAATGACTCTTTTGCACATTGAAATTAGGGTGGGGGTCTGCGTCTGTAATATTCAAAGGTTTTTTTTTTTTTAATTCTTTTATCAGATTTGTGGTCAAAACGCAATTCAAGCATTGCATAGCTATGACTAAACGTACATATTTAGGATTATTTAGTATTTTGGTTGACTTGCAATTGCATCAACCCAAAAGCATAACAACACGGTCACCGAAACCTGTCATTCATGTACTGGATACTACATGCAACAATGCAGGAAAAATATATAATAAAATTATGTTATACCGGTGTGTTAACGGCCAATTAACATTTCAATATCCATTAAAATTTCATGATGTAAACTTCACTTTGTGGCAAGTAGAAATTTGGCTTTATGGTTTGAAAACTGACACAATTTACATTGTGGTTTCGTTGTTTTACAATTGGAGCCCAATGTTTTAAGTTATTTCCAGGTGCAGTAGTAACGTTTTGGAACAAAAACTTGCTGGGGGGTGTCTAGTTTTAAATGATACGGTACATGTACAGGTAGAATACTAAGGGAATAACAGTGTGAGGAGCCGGTCTTCACTGCGTGATAATGACCGGGTGTGGGGGTGACCGCTGTTAATGGACCGAGACGAAGTCGAGGTCCATTAACAGCGGTCACCGTCACCCCCACACCCGGTCATTATCACGCAGTGAAGACCGGCTCCTCACACTGTTATTCCCATTAATAAATACTTTTATAACGAAATAAACAGTTAAAATGCCTCAATTTTGTGACTTTCTTTCGGCGATATTTCCAGACTTTTTTGTGTTCATGTTCATGGGCCATATTTTAGCTTAACAGCTATAACGACGTAAACTCAACAGAAACTGCTGCCGTAGCGAAACAAATTACAACAATGTTTTCATATCTTTACCTGATGGAGGAAGCTGAAATCTCGTTTACACATTCCTTGTGTCCGGAATTACAAAGATGCTTGGTTTAGGAAAGGTAAATATGTCGGTGGGTGAAGTGTTCAAAGAAAATAAATCGTAGATCTACGCTTTCGTCGTAAACATCCTCAGTACTACGATGTCGTTTCAAAACTTCCTTACGCGCGCGCACGCACGCATCCCTAGCAACTGTGATGCGTACGCGCGCGTCAGTCTCACGCGATGGGGGTTGAGCGCATGTGCAGTGCTCTATTGTTACAAGCTACCGCAGGACTGTTACTATATTTTGACCAATCATTGGCTTGCATGGGGCTGAACGAGGCTGGATCAATGCTGGTTCAGGGGCCATTTATTCGCTTGATCTTTGAAGCCGGTCCATTATCACCGTTAATGCCCGGCCACGTGATCGAGTCTCGACCAATCAGAAACCACCAACTCTCCAAGGTATTTATTAATTATTATTAACAACAGTTTTCAATGGATACCCTCCACCAGCCACATTTCAAAGGTGACCTTGTCAACAATACAAATCTACATCACATACAAATGTAATTAACTTATTAATCTACTTCAGATAGACTTCATTCCAGCAAAACTTGTGCCATGAAATAAACGTGAATATACGGTACATGTTCTTGTAAGTTGTATACTGTAACAAAACCAACACAGGCGGTCTGATGGTCCCCTACATGTACTGCACATGTACATGTACATGTACATGTAGGACCAGGAGGGAGGAGGCATTGTGCTGGGATGAAAAGGCCTGTAAATGCCTGCCAGGTATTAGAATGGAACTAGCAAAAGTGAGTTGGCCCACTCTTTTGTGTCCCATGATGACCTACACATAGCACAGTACAATCCGACTCAGTTGGCCAGTCATGAAGCAGTTTAGTGTTGGAATCCCCACCAGATTCAATGGACAGTAGGAAAAGGAAGACCACAATGGACAACAAAGTTTTCTAATTTGTATCCCTGTGCAAACAAATTGTACAACTCACAGGTGCCTGGGGTTGATTTGCACCTGTAATCCATTTTGTTTTTTTGTTTTTTAGGTGGATGGGGGATTCAATCGAGCAAATCACTAGCACATGCATTATACCCTACAATATACCGGTACAAGGTTCGACCTTAGCGGTAGCCCGCCTGCCAAATGCGAGTAAATACAGCAGCGGGGTAGTCAAAACCATTCCCTAAGTACATTGTAGTCCGCTTGGTGATTCAAAATTATTAATAACATTGTTGTTTATTCTGGAGCAAAAATGTAAAAAAAATACATTGCGGACTATTGAAAAGACCCTTGGTTCACTTATCGGCTGGCTTGTGAACAAAAAAAAGTTAAGGGTGAACCCTGCTATAAACTCCTACATGTACGTATACTCAAGCAAGTGTCTTTACCTTCAAGCCTTGGCTACTGTTGCAACAAACAGGCATGAAAAGAGTTTGAAGATACCGTACATAAAACATGTAAATTTGAGGGAACTTAAGCTGATAAAGTGTGTACATGTATCGCAATTGTCCTTTTCATAGAAACTGCTGGCCTAGGGATATACAGAGCCACCAATAGCTCAACTCAAGCACTGATTATGAAGAGCCATTGACATTTCATGGACCCAAAATCTCCCGATCAGATCAGTTTTTGTAAAGCTTTGTTGCTGTTGCCTGGAACCAACACAGATTCCGTCGCTGATCATTTGGTTTTCATTAAGGGCACCATTCCATGCGGGGCCCCTTGACCCATTTTGATGACAGCTTTGGAGGGGGACCTAGTGACGGACGTGGGCTCAATTACAGACTCCATTGCACGACTAAATTGCAATCATCAGAAGCTGCAAATCCTTGTGTCACTGGGTAAACTTTTCAAATTGAAATCTCTGTATGTTTAAAATCTCAATTAACATATTCCTAGAGTGAAAACAAATATCGACAGCATTCTCTGTTTTATTTGAACCCTAACTCCCTAGGCCTTTTTGCTAGGATGTAGCCTCAATCCTACAAAATCCTCCAATTGACCTCATGGAAAAATAGCATTTACATAAGTGTAGCCTCAATCCTGCAAATTCCTCCATTATTTCTTGAATATGGTCCGTGGAGGGATGACCACTGCCTGAATCCTGCAAAATCATGCGGCAGTGACTATCAATATGTTGAGGCTTGACCAGTGACATCCTGGAGCAGTACGGAGGATTTCAAGCATAATCCAGGCCTATATTTATGCATGGCTGAGCAAAAACAACACAAGGTCCAGCCCAAGACCTTGACAAAGTGCATTCTACGAAATCAGTAACGCACTCTTGCCAGGTAACCTCAATCCTCCAAATTCCTCCACTTTGGCAAAGAGGATTTTGAAGGATTCAGGGCGGTTAGGGTTAATTCATGCAACATGAAGGTCAAATGACACTGAGAAAACTGATGCCTATACAGAAAAATGTCTACATCGAAGTGCCATCTGTTTGAAATGGCTTTTAGTTCAAAATAAAAAAAATAATTATAGGAAGTGCAAGCAAATAAAAGCTAGGCTATTTAGCTGTTTCCGTGTACATTGTAATTTTTGTAGATGTACACATATGCGGTTTCATTGTATCACTGAACAACTCCATTGCTCAGCCAATTTCTATCAGTGTAGACATGAACTTTGCATCTTACGACCGTCAACTTGTTTTGATCTGATTTATTTTAGGGACAAAGGCAGTGTTTATCAAAAATGTTTTTATGATGGAACTATTACGTCGGTCATAGTCCAGTTCTGGTCCGTCTGTGTAAACAATGTAAATTCATGCACTCATCCCATGTCTATAAATGGCCGCCACAGTTTACATGTTAGGAAAACAGGGACAAACATTTATGAGTGAGGACTGGCAATGAATACAGAACTGTGTATGTGCAACGTCTGAACTAACTTTTACTGCATTGCTCGAACGGGAAATATTCAGTTTAAAAACACTGCCCCCTTGTGACCAAAGAATTGGCAGTGCCTGGGCATTCCTCAGCTCACAGTGCTTGTATTCAATTTACTTTTCTTATCAAAGTCTTGCAAGGCAAACCTAAGATTTTGGTGGTGGTGTTTTTATACATTTTTTATTTGGCGTTCTTCAGGCATGCAACTAGGAATTAAGGAAAAACGAGGAAACTCCAAACCACACAAGGATTTGTACAGTGTTTTTCAATTTGTAATGGCAGTCTTGAGAAGTGAAAAACGAGGAAATCAGCTGATCCGAGGACAAGTTGCATGCCTGGTTCTTAAGAGCCACTAAAAAACTACCGACGAAAAAAATCTGATACTCCCCCTGCCTTTACAAGAGAATTTTGGGTTTTTTTTAAACTGGACCACATCATGAAAGGGAAAAAAGAACTACACTAAGCCTATACAAAATATGAAGGCATGTGAAACTTTTTGATATGTTTCTCCCGAAACAGATCACACTTGTCCCAAACTTTTACCTTTCAAATCCGGTGAGATTTTCTCCTCCAAATTGGGGTCGTCCCCGTACCAGTATATCCAGAGTTCTTTGGTCCAAATGGGGTCCGGTTTCATGGACACATCCAGGGAGAGCAAGAGGTCGGTGTTCATGAATGGGACGCGGCGCCAGACACTGAGAATGTTGGCCGCGATGCAGCGGGAGTAGGACACCAGGACCGGGTCCTCCAGCGGGCCCAGGGGCTCCTGGGGACAATCGTAGCTGAACTTACGCCATTTGATGCCCGAGAGATCCGTCTGGGAACGGGGAAGAAAATCATCAAAATAATGATAAATGTACAGGTACATCTTGAATCCATAAAAATCATGTGAATACTCCAGGTGCTATGTGAAGGCAGTCAACGGTTCAATCTTTGTAAATTGTTAACTTTCATGGCACATGGTGGCTGGGCTGTGCTTTCCTTTATTATGCAAATTCTTCCAAAACCTTTGTGTAGAATTTGAAGGGTTTTGTGGGGTTATAGTGAATATTTGGATGCGCCGCATTTCACCACGGTACCACTGTACACGCAGTTTGTTTTGGCGAAATTTATGTAAAAGGCCTTTTTTTTTTTTTAAGCTAAAAACAGCCAAACATTTGGAATTATATAACTGACATACAGATCCTAGTCATTTGATTGGTGGAACTCACATCACATGGCATTCGTTATTGCTCCCATTCACGCCGCGGCTCAAAAAGTACTATCCGCCCATGGGGAATGGGAAATACTATTCAACAGTTAGGATCATGACGCGGTATTTGCGTGCAAATGCATGCTGGTGTGCGCGTTCAGCGTTGCGCGTAGCGCGTATTGTTCCAAAGAGCCAGCGCTACAGCGTTAGGTTCAAACATTTTCGTGATGGGGTGGTTTGGAAGAGAGAGATAGATTTTCCTTCAGTTTGTATTGAAAAAAAGGTTCAAATATATCAAATGACAAGGATCTATATGTCAGTTATATAAAACAAATATTGAGTGGCTTTAAATTGTGAAATGGGAGGAATATTATCGCTCGGTAAAATCTGGACTTTTCCAGTTCACTCGGCTTCGCCTCGTGAAATGGAAAAGTCCAGATTTTACCTCGCGATAATATTCCTCCCATTCCACGCTGAGCCACTCAATATTTGTATACCATTGTCTCAGATGTACACAATTACATGTTGAACTACATGTGGTATGTGTTTACACATGGTCATGTACATGTATGTACTTGTCTGGAAGAATCATTATTTTGTACGATGTTAAAAACCGTTAAGGAATGACATTGCATATCTAAAGGCTCCATATACATGTATACATGTATACTGAAAAATGAAACTGGAAAAATAAAAAACAAAAAACAGGTCGGAAAGTTGTTGACATGCCGTTGTGCTAAGTGACAGCATTAGGGTAACGCCACATGGACCTTAAGCCAGCCGATCCCTATCAATACCACAGAGATTCATGTCTGGCTGACATTTGACCTTTCCCCAATACTCCCGCTTGTCAACATGCCAGTCATAAACGATCCGTGCATCTTTCCCCCCTGGAACAACCATTCAATAATGCCTCCGATCAATATGTGTACGCAGACAAATCTAATGACCCCACGCCGAAGGCTGGCAAAATATCTTGACTTCGTGAAGTCTTCTTCAATTGTCTTTTATCCACCCACTCAAATTTCTGACAGTTGAACCCGACTAGTGCTTAATAACGGACTCGGCGTGAGAACATGCCTGCATGTCTTCACTGAGTGTGATGCCACTAACTGGACATGCATCCACAGCGCCTTACAATGCAGAGGCTTCCGAAGCACTTGGCATGCACCAATCGCGCCAGTCACTCGAGCGTTAAACCATACGTGCATTTACAGTAATAGCATACTGTACAGTACACACAGGCCAGTGGGCCAGTGAACTTTGGCCATTGTGCTTGATTTACATGCATGCTTACATAGTATAATATGTAAATATGGGGATTGAGAAAGCATTAAGGCGCTGCAATTATTCCCTGATTACACATGTACAGTGTACACGTATGCTGGTACTACATGCATACATGTATATTTGGTTTGCTTGGAGTGAGGTCAGTGGCTTAATAACTACAAGTACAATGTGTGAATAGTACTGAAAGACTTAGGCATATTTCTAGGGCAGTGAAATAAAGACTAGAGTAACAATATCCATAAAGCAGATTTGGATTCAGTAGTTAAAACGAAATTTACCAATGGACATAAATTACAGCATTAAAGAAAACAATTTCTGGTGACCTTTACCATTTCATAAATTCACTCATACCTTTTACCTGTGATTTTCTCCCACATTTTGAATTTTTCTAAAAGAAAAACTACTAATGTAAGACTACTCAACGTCATTTGACAAAACTCGCTGGAAGTCACAACGCAATGTATGAAAACATTCCTTGATCCCATTAGGACTTGGCAGGTTGCCAGGAAGTGAGAAATCCTCCGGCAATATGACGCATTGTGTCTTTTTTGTTGCTTTTTTTCGGTATGAGGAAGATCCCCACTCTGGTGATTTTGCTACTTTCTTTTGAAGGATAGAGGTTTTCAATAAACTTGTTGAGAGGAGTTTCTTGGCCCCCAGTACACAACTAGCGTGAGGATCAGAGGTTCACATGTGCAGAGCCACACTGCAAACGTCTGATGTATGTATCTGTGCTTGTATATTTCATGCGAACCTGCGCACCAGCCAACCAGAGCCGCTTTTAGAACTTGCGAAGCCATTGAGAGCAGAAATTTGGCCAAAGCTGTTGATTGGTCAATAGCTGCCATGGTTTTGTCATACAGCATCGGGTTACCGAAGACACCCTAGAAGGCGCCCGCTGAATGGTCAGAATCTGGAGGTCACGACGCAGTGTTTGCTTTGCATAATCTGCATGCGATCAAAGACGCTTGCCGTGAAAGCATAATTTATTCCACAGACTAGTCCACAACAGGAAACTAATAAACTTATTGAACACGTAATGGTGATGTTTAAAATGCAAAATGTCTGTACATAGATGATGACAAAGCAAGACAAATTCCCTTTGTCTCAAAGCTTGCCTCGTAACTGTCTCCAAAAAAGAAATCACGTAAGGTGATGGCCCAACATGGTTTCATCATTACTGTGTATCGACAGCGCAGTGGCTACCGGTATGTTGTCGAGATCACTGTAAATCCATAATGGTGAACAATGGCAAATTACATTGTAAGGCCCCCCCCCCCAAAAAAAAAAGTCTCCGGTTTCTGGTATGGAGCTTGCCCAAAAAGTGGTGCGGCGATGCGGCTTTTTTTTTTTTTACCTGATTTTTTTGCTTCAAATGTCGGCTGATGACTGCAAATGGTGCCCAACGAAACTTAGTGCAAATATATAGGAGTCCAGAGAGGCCACATAAAGCTTATTCTCGACCATAACCCAATCTAAAAACACGTTAAAATTGTGCAGCAGCAGGATTCCAGTCAAACCAGTGAGTTTGACGGTTTTGAGACATCATCTTTCATTGAAAAAAAAACTTTTTCATTTTGCTGATGTGCATGGCTACGGCGACACGCGTGCATACCAGAAACCGGAGACTTTTTGGGGGGCCTAATGGAGACACACATTCCTTTTGGCACAAAAGACCACTTCCAACCATATCCCAGAAATATTTCGGACTGTTGTCTGCAAACATCTACATGTAAAGTAGTTAAAGCTAGCACACTGAACCGAGTACAGTATGTTTGTTTTCTATACGTACATGTACGTGTAAGTACATGTACAGTTCAAATCAGATTTTGGGGTAGAATTGACTTTGCATTTTGCAACACAAAGAGAAGAAGTGATTCGATCTGAAGCTAACTCCAGACTGGTACCTGTCCAACTTTTACACAAGAAGGACCCTTTAGAAGTCTGGTGGTATGACTGTGGTACCGGTACACATGGGACAATTTCATGACGCTGTTTATCAGTTAGCACAAATCGTAGAGAAAGGAATTGTGCTTTATCCTTATATACAAAAAAAAACACTTTTTATAGATGATAGTGCTTCCTGTTCAGATTGTTTTACCCTAACTCTCTAGTAGTTCCTCAGGACTACTCTGCTTAATCCAACAGAGTCCAACAGGAGTGTCCTGCTCAATCCACTGTGCCTTATTTTCAGTTGTCTGCTGAATCCAACGGAGTCCAACTTGGCGTTATAATGCGGTTCAGTTGCCTGCTGAATGATCCAACATTTTGCATCAGGAATGTACACAAGGGGTTTACTGCTCAATCCAACAGGCTCCATTGGGTATGACATAGTTGGATGGATTCAGCAGGGTTAGGGCAAATTTTTCCCCTGGAGGTAAGCTTGCCTTTTGCTTTACATACTGCTTTGGTTTCCATGAAATAGACAAAGGCACTGTTAACCCTAACGCCCAAGTAGTTCCTCAAAACTACCCTGCTAAATCAAACAGAGTCCGACGGTTACTCATGTGAGTTTCCTGCTCAATCCAAAACGGTCCCACACAACCCAACTTGCCAAGTTGTTGGGTAATGGGTACCTAACGACTGGCATGCTCAATCCAACAGAATCCAACTGTGCCATATTTCTCTGTTGTCTGCTGGGTCCAACTGAGTCCAACTTGGCGTTAGTTACCAGTACCCAACCGAGTCCGACTCTGTATGTTTTCAGTTGCCTGCCGAGTCCAACAGATTTCAACAGGAATAGGGGTTTACCGCTCAACCCAACAGGACCCAGTGGGTATGTAAAATAGCTGGATCCTGTTGGATTGAGCAGGGTTAGGGTTGTGCTGAGCAGTGCCATGAAACCGGGGTCTGGTACCAAATGTTTCTTTTTTAATGCTGTTGTTTTGTCATGCACACAGCACATGGTTGGACCGACTGTTATTTGTTTGATGTGCACTTTGTTTTAGTTTTCAGACTTGGTGTTTGTGTTTGATAACGTTGTGCATGACCCTAAGTTAGTAGAGTTCGTATGAGATGTGAGTTATGTCATTCCTTGTCAACCTGTGCAATTTGTTATAAAATCCATGAGCAAAGATGTTTCTTCCACACTTTGCAATCATTACTTGATGAGGTTAATTTAGCACCATGAAAAGGGCTCCCAGTCGAGTACACTGAAAAAAAATCTGATGAAATCACATTCTAGATTGCTAATCGTGCACTTCAGGACTAACTTGTTAAAGTTTTGTTTATAAATCAAAACCCTGCCCTCTTTCCACAAAATGAAGCTAGTTGATTTTCAACATGTAGTCTTAGTGAACTATTCAGATGAATCCAAACAGATAAAGTGACTTTTCCCGTTGTCTCATCACCAAGTGTTTAATTATCAAGTCCCAAGACATAAAATGTCATTTCATTCTCTTATAATGAAACTACACGATTACCATTAGATTATTATCATTGTAACACTCGTTACTTTGGGAGTGAAGTCACTTTTTATACTAGGCCTAGGCCCTAGGCCTAACGATGTTAGGCTGTAAAATGACCACTTGACTTAGTTTTACATGTATGTGACAATGTATTGCAAATGGTTGAAAACATTCGAACAGTATAAACATTTATCACTGAAACTGATAAAGACGGATTCTGGGTGACTAGTTTATTTTAGTGATTTATTATTCAATTTGACTTTTACACTTGTCGTATCTTTTGAATAGGAATGTCACATACATAAGCCTACATGTCTGGACATGTAGATCACATTGAATTTAGCAACTCATTGGTATTTTTTTGGTATTCAAGAAAATCAATGGGTCTTATGTATATTAACACTACTCTTTACGCAGGAAATAACATTACACAACCACAAATTATGTGTACATAGTATCATTCATATCGTGATTAATCGAGTGATACTTTTATGCCCGACTTCAATTCAATGACTTCCTCGTATAATGATCCAAAGTGAACGACGTGCACCCACCCACGATTTCAACATGTTCGCGGATTTTCCCTTTCTAAACTGACTTCTGATAAACATGTCGGGGGTCACCAGACAAAGGACGTTTTACGTTAAAAAATATGTCTGGTAATCGTATTCTTCCTTCGTGTTCCGTGGTCCAAGGTCACTTTCTGCCGACATGTCTTTCGGCCATGGCTGTCGGGTCACGGCTTGGGGTATCTATTCCTGACGTACGCACTTCAAACAACCAATTTGACCCCGAATTTCCAACTTACCAGGGCGAACAAGTTGGTGTGACAATCTTCCAAACTGGCACCATTCGCCGCCGAATTTGCGGCAGTCATACTAGACACATGGCTCTCGTATATTCCACGACCGTTTCGGCAGTATGATCCAAGAAAGAGGGTAAAAATCCGAGTTAAAATCGGCCACGGGGGCGGCTTTAGTCCGCTTTGCGTGCAACGTAATGGCGACACAGTGAAGGGCAAAATACTCAGGCGGTAATTACCCTTTGATGGATTGGCCAAAAGACGTCACGTGGTCACTTTTATTCAAATTTGTTGTTTCCTGCACCTGCTACGCGACACGGCAGGACTCGTGTTTTCTCTTCAGATTTTTCCATAAAAACTCATTATTTCAAGACTAAATGAATTGTTCTGATAGGACAGACAATGATTTTTGCTTTAAGGCAAATTAATCTCGGTATTTGTTTCCGTCTATGGCGTGGGCACTCTGTTAGCTCATTGTGTTTATTGACGCAAGAGCGGAATAGTTGTGACGTTCATAATGTGTAGACGGGTTCCCCCATGTCTGCAGGTTGAGGTCACGGACTGGTTCACACGTTCCACTAGGTGGCGCAACCACAAAATACTAGGACATAATGATTGTGAATGTTTTGCGTGGTAACTCAATAATGTTCTTACTTTTGATTGCATCACAACTAGAATTGTCTCTAACTACTGTCATATTTCACAATGCACAGACACCTCTGTGTTTCAGGACTATATATAAAGCCTATTTTTCGACTGCAAAAAATAGTATTGCAACATGTATAAATAGTATTTTATTATTGTCAACTCTCATAACCGTACCTTGCATAACCCGTCCAGTTATTTCATCATTGTACATTCATTACCTTCGGGTTATGTGAAAATAAAACGAAGGGGAGAAATTATTGGCAGATGTCGGAGCGGCAGGTTAAATTATTAAATATCTTGCTTCAATTTAAAAAAAAAAAAAAAATCGCCAGCCATTCTTTTAGGGGAAATTGGATGTTGACCAACTACAAGAAATCGGGACAATCAGATCAGGCCCTGTAAATAGAAGCTAACAATTTTTTTAATGTACTGGTTTTTGAAAAAAGAGTCTGGTGTTTTGCTTTTTTAATTTCGAAGGCGGATCACATTCAGTACACTTTTTGAAAAAGAGTTTCTTTCAGTTTCATTAATTTTTCGATATTCTTGGGTTGAAAAGGTCTGATCTGCACCGGAAGCAGAAAGCTTACTTTCTTTTCGCTCGAGCGAAATTAATTGTATGTACTAAAGGGGGTCACACGAAAGTAAAGTATATTTGTAAGCGTCACTGATGAGTGATAATTTATTCAAGCACGACCAAACACCTATAGTAAATATAAAAAATTAGTTTCCTTGTTTAGTTTAACTTTCTGAGTACATTTTTGCAGCAGTATATGCCTTTCACATTTTTATAGATTGTCATTCAATCTTTTTAAAAAGTCATCGACTTCTGTAGGCATTGCGAGTTGTTTTGGAAGACATGGCATACTATTTTCCACGACTACAAATGCATCCGTTCAGAACCGATCGAGGACGACTAATACGCATTGTAAACTCAGAAGAAAACAAATAATGCTTAAAATCAGACTGCAGGTTAATCACGAGAAAAGTCCATTCAAATAACTCGTGAAATTATGTTGTATTTTTTCTCTCACAGAGTGCTACGTAAAACTTATGCAAAGAGAATGCAATACCCCTTTTGTATTGGATCTCTCAAGTAAACCTCAGACGACCCTGCACTTGCCTCATTTGGAAACAACCATAAATGGACTAAAAGGGGACGATTTCACCTCTTAAAGGGCCAACCAATGCAATGTATTTTTTAATGCAATCCTTGAAACTGCAACTTTGTGTCCCATTTAGTCATTTATTTTTAATTTTCGTTTTGCCAATTTCAAGGGTATTTTGGTGCCTTGCCAATGGAAATGCCAGCACTAACAAAGTTGCTAGAAAAAAGATTTGATATTTTGCTGCCGTAAATTTTCTTTTCTTTGGTGATTTGTTGTTGTGTCACAACATGGCAGTGAGCCAGTGTACACATTTTCTCACAAAATGTTGTCAATGAGCAAATTTTGGTTCACACTTTGAACAGAAACTCCCTGAACTGAACATCAGTTGTCCAAAAAAAAAAGCATTTAATGAAACTTTTCAATGAAATTAACCAAAAAGGGAGGTCAGATAGTTTCATACATTTAAGAGGACTAGAAAGTTGCTCAAAATGAGACTTCTAAGAAAAAAATCATTCCATGGACCCTTTAAGATAGCCTAAGCAAATTTTAAAGAAAAAAAAAGGAAAGAAAATAAAGTTTAATGAAAGTTTGGAACGCATGTAAAGACATTTCTGCTGATGACTACATTTTGTATAGTTAACATCAATCTGACAATTCGTACGGCATTGTGTAAGCATCGCATGCAGTACACCATTTCACGCAACAGTTTGTGGATGAAACAACTACCCTTGCGCTCCCGTCATTAATAAAGCAAAAGGGTTATCATTTTACTCCAAAATGTTTTCTTAAATTCAACTTGTCCGAACGTTACGAGAAATAATTCGTGTGAAAACATGCGCAAAGGCATCAACTGGGAACCGAATAAGCTCGGCATGAGGAAATAAAGTCACTGCAGTTAGCCACCTTTGCTCTTATAGGTTAAAGGTAGAATGGACCATTTGTTATTTATTGTGCATTTTTTTTTCGTTTGAAACAACACAATTTGCTCGAAATCTAAAGACGGGTGCTTTACAACTAACCCGATGAAGTTTTAGCTCTGTGAATGCTGTATATTTCGTGAAAACACAATATTCTGGATCTCGACTTCAGTTCAAAAAATTGCCGAGCCGTAGTTTGAATTTGCTCGCACTCGTCACACAATCCCGAAATCAGCATTCGGGACATGATTCTCATTCAGCCGATTGTATCTACGTGATGCACGTGACATCACTGAACATGAACCGTCGAATAGGCAGAACAGCAGCCGCGCGCGTGTGCGCGTCGTGTCAACGCTTGCACCCATTTACGGATTCGTCCAATTACAAACCAACTACAAACAAAAAATTTCAAAAAATGTGTCACTTGACAATCTTCGGAAATGACCTTCTTTTGTTGTTTTCTTCACAATGACAGCATGCCAGAAAAAAAAATTCAGAGGGAGATTAGTGTCATTGCTATCTTTAAACCCAGTACATGTATGTTCCCATCTTTCAAGTAATATGCTTTTTAAAACAATAATTTGGTCGGTCACTAAGGATAGCTGCAGATGGTCCACTCCACCTTTTAAACCAGACGAACTCAATGATATCATTATTGTTTTCCTTAAATGTTATAAGTCATATTTAGATCCGAACAATCTTGACTCACAGTTTCACATTGTGGATCACGGTATTTTGTTACAAGGAAGTTTGTACAAATCATTGTTCACGTTCATAATAAAAGCATGCATCGTTATATATATACATGTATACACTGTCGTCCAAAGAAAGTTCATTGTCCATCCGCCAATAATTAGAACAACCCGGCTTCCATTTGTTGTTCGAGCGTCAGGTGACGTATGGTGTTGGCGTTCTGGGTCTCCCGTTTGCACATGTCGCCGATGGCGTCGGAGATGCCTCCTTCCGATGACATCATCACACTGTCCAGCAACTGTGATTGGACAAAAGTTAAAGCCAACGCGTCATGATATGAATATTCATAACATTGTGGACGTGTGTACTCTGGTCTTTAAAGAGCTCGGTGTTTTTTTTTTTTAAAAACACATTCAAAATCTGTATAGTGTTAAAAACTAGCTACATCCAGCAACCCTGTCTACCTTTCAGCACGGATGCAATTTTTGGGCGCCCGTCCATTGTAACCTCAAGCCCCCCTCGGCCCCCGCACGCCCCCTTATTATGAAAACCTTGGCTACGCCGCAGGTTACATCAAAAGTTACGGTGGTTGGTATTTTTGAAAGGAAACATTAAAATATGCATAAAAAAAATAACGCTCAAATGTTATGGAATGTTAAATTACTTCTTTTTTTCCAGGTTAATAATTTTAAACAATGGTTTTTCTTACGTGGAGAAACTCTTCAAAGTCGATACTATCTGAGTGGTCGACATCAATCTCGTCGAATTTTTGTTTGCGGACGTGATATGGAGATTTATCCCCTAACTCGGTTAAGGCTGTGTCACTGCAGTTAAAAAAAGATGAAAAGTATCAGGCAAACAAATGTGTTTCAGATAAGGAAGTGCAAATTGTTGCAATTTAGGAATTCAAGAATAAAAACGAATAATACGGCCTTACAGATGATTGTTGTCTGGAATTATATAAAACCCGTCAGAACTGACTATTGGCAGCCAGGAGAGAGCGGGATTTTAATAAGTAACAAAATGGCGTTTTCTTGCGTTTGGAAACTTTTCGTATGTGTTCTTTCCAATTTCTTCTTTTCTTTTCCAAATTCAAATCATAACAACTTCATGCAACTGCAGCGAAGCACAAGTATACAATCATAGAACAGACGCAATGCAAAGTATATTCTCCCTGAACACATGAAATAACGAGGCCTATAATTTGCATAGGTGAATGAAGCTTGTTGAATAAAATCGAGCTAAGCAAGAAGTTCTCTTGCGTGCTTAGTGCTTACAGTTCGGGGAAGTCTATCAGGCCGTCGTGGTTCAAATCGAAGGACAGGAACTGGGTCCGGAAGTCGGCGATGTCGCTCTCGTGCCACTGCGGGAAGCGGGCCGCCAAACCCACCAGGTCTAAGGATGGAAACAAGAGTCAGGATTTGAAAACGACGTTAGACAAGCTGATTGCTCACTAAGAGGTAGAAGTTATCTCTGTCGTGAGTATTCTGACGACGCCGACTGTAACGATAATTAACAGAGCATACCGATATTAATTAATTGCACGAAACGTCGACATCCGGCTCGTTGAGTGAAAACGTCATACACGCGCGCGCACCACTGATTACTAGCGCCCATTGGCTGCACACGCTCGCGAGCTGCCTTAACTTCCGGTGAACTTTTGTTAACTTCTCAGAACCATGCAACACTCAATTTTCCAAAGAGATTTATTGTCACGTGGTGATATTAAATATTGAGATTTTGGCGAATGTGTAAACAAAATAGACATGTGAACCGCGCACGAAATGCATGCGATTGATTTTATATAATATATCTCCGACTCGCTGTCTTTTGTTTAGAAAGTGAAGTTGGAAGAACGATTTCACCCGCTGCTGTTACATAATAATTATATTCAAAGAAGATCGCTCTTTCAATGGCGATTGTGTACACTCTAAAAACAACCGAGTCAAAATATTGACTGGTTTTCCTAGTTATTGAAAATTGACTAGGAATTTACTTCAAGCTGTATGACTAGAAAAAGTAGTTGGGTTCGACTACAATTTCAGTTATTTGCAAAACTATTTTTCCAAAGTCAATAATACTGACTGGACAAATCTAGTCAGATTGACTGATTTTCAGATTTGCACCCAGCTGACCTTGAATAGCTAGTCAAATTTAACTGGTTTCTAGTCAAATCTGACTAATGCTTTTTTAGAGTGCAGTGTAACTTATGGCCGCTCTTTAGTTTTGATCATTTTTTTATCATTCCAAAATGACTTTTCAACCTAAAACAAACTTCTCTTAATTCATTTTTGGAATGTAGAACCATTTTTTGCGGTAGATAATCTGATTTTCGTACGCGCTTTATGGTTGGTGCCATACGAATCAACGCGGTTTTGCGTGTTCACGTACATGCGACGCGGTGATCGCCATGTATCTTTAGTTTCGTGTTGTGTTTTCCGCTGCTTTACCCGAAAATTGCCCTAAAAAATACAAAAAAACCTGCCCTCTATTTACTGCATAGGCCTATACCTGTTGGTTTATAATATCGCGTTTATAACTAGTTTTGGTAAGTCCAATAACCTAAAAGGGGATTTTTGTTCTCTTATAAGGAACCCTTCAAGCTACACAATCGCCCTTTGAAAAGCAGTAAATATTTAGCTCAGGCAGGTCGGACGTCTTCACTGCATACGCGTACGTACAACGGAGGAGTCCAACCTGGGCTAGTCATGAGCATGCATTTTTCCCCTTTCAAACCTGGAGTTCCTGATAATAAAAATACGCATTGATTGGTTTGTTTAAATATATTTCTTTCATCCGTTGTTCAAATTACTGCTTTACTTCAATTAGTTCAAAGTGCCAGTTTGGTAAAAGCTTACTGTCATTGTATTTGTCTGCCCGTGTTTGATTTTCTTACCGTTAAATTTTGCTTTAGCTTCTTGGGCATTTTGTCTCTCCTCCACGTAGCGCTGAAAGAACTTGCTGGTCAAACTTTCAAACTGTGTCACATCTTTCTTCTGATGATAATGTTCGTGCCGTCGCCCTGCACGATACAAATAATATACAGGCTGTGGTTTAGAAAGGAAAAGTCCTAGTTGCAGAGAACTTCTATAGTGAGAACCATGAATATTTCACGTAGACTTGGGCCGTTTATAAAGTAACTTAAACGGAACTCATACCTGAAGCGTCAAACGCTTCCACTGACTCGAAGTTCGTCGGTTGCGTTTTGATTGGAAAGCTTGGAGCGAATCCCATAGTGAATCCCATAAAATAACCAGCTTCACCGTGTTTGGAGACGGTTTTCCATTGATAGCGTATCGGTAAGTACCGCAAATCCGGATATTTAAAGAAAAGCAGAAGAGAAATTCCCAAATCTCTATAGAAAAATGTCCGACATTTTACTCTCTTCTTGCACTTTCGGTAACGAACGCGTACGCAGATACGTACGGTTTGCGAGCGCGTACGCAGATTACGAATACGCTCGAATAAATGCGCTGAATGTGCGCCGAATCTAGAGCATTATGCACGCGCGTCGAAATAGGCTAGATTTATAATAAAGCTAGTTTTCCCGGCTATTTTATACTACGTTTATCGCTCGAATTCACCGTTTGTAATATTCAAATTCGTCCGTCAACATCGATTTAGTGCACTTCCAATGTTTAATGTCGTCTTTTGTCAGACAAAATTTCCAATTCAGTTCAAGCAAATTCAAACAATGAGCACACGTTTTCGTCCCGGATTATTTCGTCTCGTCTACGCCAAATTACAAACCTTGTTGTTCAGAAATCAAATTCGTCTAATTGATTTATAAGACGAATTCGATCTCTGAATGCTGCAATTCGGCAAAAGCTTAGACAAATTTGATCTGTACTTACGAATATTCTCGACCCGGTAAAGAGGGTGACCAAACTTTGGTACGAATGACTAACTCGGTTTTGTTAAGGCGTGTGAAATTTTTCTCGAACGAAATTGAATCTTAGAGTTTTGGTGAATTTTGAATGAAATATGTTTTAACTTAGCCGGGAAAACCTAATATATATTATTATGGCATTATTATAGGTTTTACCGGCTATTTTAAAACATTTATCGTTCCAATTCACCGATTATAACTATGCAAATTCGTCCAGCAACATCGATTTAGTGCACTTCCAATGTTTAATTTCGTCTTTTTTGTCAGATAGTTTCAAATTCAGTTTAAGCACATTCAAACAATGAGCACGCGTTTTCGTCCCAGAGTATTCGATTTCGTCTCGTCTACGCCAAACCTTGTTATTCAGAAATCATATTCGTCTAATTGATTTATATCAGACGAATTCGGTCTCTGAATGCTGCCATTCAGCAACAGCTTAGACGAATTTGATGTACTTGACGAGTATTCTCGACCAGGTGACCAAAGAGGGTGACCAGATTTGAAATTGAATGGTAAATGACTAAATTGATTTTGTTAAAAGCATGAGAATTTTTTCATTGACGAAAGTGAATGATAGAGTTGGTGAATAATTTGAATGAAAAATCGTTTAAAATAGCCGTGGAAAAACTATACTATCTGGGGGATTAGCTCAAAATGATCATAGACTATAAGAGTGCTTACTTTTCATCCGAGAGGTATCGGGATCGATAGGCCTATACCTGGATCTTCCATTGTTCGTCTTGATAAAAGTATACCTTCATTTTTTTTTGGTTTCAAATCACGCATTCTCATCAAATCTCTAATAGTAGAAACGTCATAAAATCGTTAAAATGCGAAGGGGGATTAGCTCAAATGGGAGAGCGCTCGCTTAGCATGCGAGAGGTACCGGGATCGATACCCGGATCTTCCATGATTTTACATTTTTGTCGCAGCTTTAATTCTTTTGAATCAAAGAAAGATTGTCTTAAGTAGACAGGTAGTGTAGAATTCTACAAATGTGGGGGATTAGCTCAGATGGTAGAGCGCTCGCTTAGCATGCGAGAGGTACCGGGATCGATACCCGGATCTTCCAGGAGTTTTATTCTTTTTTACTTTTAGGTTTTTTTGTCGTAGCTTAATTTTTTTGAATCAAAAGCTGGATTGTCTTTATAAGTAGAGGTAATTTAGGATTTCTACCAATCCGGGGGGATTAGCTCACATGGAAGAGCGCTCGCTTTGCATGCGAGAGGTACCGGGATCGATACCCGGATCTTCCAATATTTTTCCCCCCGTGGCTTTATTGTTTTGAATCAAAGCAAGATTGTCTTGGGAAGAGGTAGTTTATGATATTTATCAATCCGGGGGATTAGCTCAAATGGTAGAGCGCTCGCTTTGCATGCGAGAGGTACCGGGATCGATACCCGGATCTTCCAATATTTTTTCTTCTCCCCCCCCCCCCCGTGGCTTTAACTCTTATGAATCGAAGCTAGATTGTCTTGGGAAGAGGTAGTTTATAATATTTAACAATCTGGGAGATTAGCTCAGATAGTAGAGTGCTCGCTTAGCATGCAAGAGGTACCGGGATCTTCCACGATTTCTTTCCCGTTTACTTTTTTCCCCGTAGATTGAATTCTTTTGAAACAAAGCTAGATTGTCTTGGGAAGAGGTAGGCCTATAGTTTATGATATTTAAGAATCCGGGGGATTAGCTCAAATGGTAGAGCGCTCGCTTAGCATGCGAGAAGTACCGGGATCGATACCCGGATCTTCCATGATGTCTCTTCTTCTTCTTTTCCCCTGTAGCTTTAATTCTTTTTAATCAACGCTGGATTGTCTTGGTAAAGGTAGTTTAGGATTAACTATCTGGGGGATTAGCTCAGATGGTAGAGCGCTCGCTTAGCATGCGAGAGGTACCGGGATCGATACCCGGATCTTCCATTGTTTTTTTAATTTAAAATCCGAGTCTCAAGAACAAAATAAGTTCAGATATCTCTGGATTGCATCAATGAGTTTGCAGAGAAGTGTCCATTTAACGCTGCTTTTAAAAGCTGAAAATGCATTCCCCCCTTTTTTTAAATAGAAATAAGGCGATGTCGTCATGCAGAATGTTTATTAGGACACGATGTCCGTCTGCTCTTTTTATTCCAATAATTTTATCTGACTATCTGTGACTGGAAGTGTATTCTTAAAAAGATTGAGAAGAATTCCATACATGGAAATCACTCAGTTTTCCCTGCAGTGACCTATCAGCCATCAGAAAGCGATAACATGCCCTAAAAAGTCAAATTTTGCAGGGAAAATATTGAAGTATTTACTGAGAAAACACTTGGGAATTTTTCAGACCAGTCTCATAGGGTCAGTGGACAGGGTGTCAAGTGATGTCCAGGATTGGAACTCTTTCCAAAAGATTTTATGAATTTTTTGAAGCTCAAAAATTATACATTTTTCCCGAATCACCAATTTTCTTTCAGATCTGTCCATTTATACGTGAAATTACGGTCAATCAATCTGGAAATATATTCAGGACAAAATTTAAGAAAATGTTGACTGATTCACTTCCCAAATGCTTTGAAAATAAATTGTGCCGTTGTGTATCAGAATGCAAGGCAAATTAGAAAGAGAAAGATTATTAAAAAACCTATTAAAGCAACAGAAAAGGAACGATTCACATTTAGATTGCAATTTGTTTTACATACAAATTAATTTAGTATAAACGTTATCCATTTTTTTTCTTTTCTTTTTTACATAATACATGTACAGTCATCAGCAATGATAATTTAAGATGAACTTTCCCGAACTTGCGTAAGAAAATAATTTAGTTAAAAATCACTAAAATCTTATACTCATTTTACATTCAAGTTAAAAATGAACCCGAAGTTCAAATGGTCAAGGAAAATCCTCAGCCTCAATGACAAATTTGTAATTAAGTCTTCAACAGCGTAAGAAGTCAATCACAAGTCAACCAGGCTCAGGTCGTGTAACAACTAACAAGCTATTCACATGAACGGAGCTATTTGTCTGTTCATTACCTGTAGTATCCTTACTTGTGATAGTACTTGTGATCGACTTGTGATCGACTTGTGATGTGACTTGTGATTGACTTGTGATTGACTTGTGATTGACTTGTGATTGACTTGTGATTGACTTGTGTTTGACTTGTGATTGACTTGTTATTGACTTGTGATTGACTTGTGATCTGACTTGTGATCTGACTTGTGATCTGACTCGTGATTGACTCGCGATTGACTTGCGATTGACTTGTGATTGACTTGCGATTGACTTGGCATTAACTTGCCACTGACTTGTGATTGACTTGTGATGTGACTTGCGATTGACTTGCGATTGACTTGCGATTGACTTGCGAATGACTTGTGATTGACTTGTGATTGACTTGCGATTGACCTGGCATTAACTTGCCACTGACTTGTGATTGACTTGCGATTGGCTTGTGATTGACTTGTGATTGACTTGCGATTGGCTTGTGATTGACTAGTGATCTGACTTGTGATTGCCATGTGATTGCCTCAATTACAAGTCTGACACAACTAGGTTTGCTCTGTTTTCTCAAAAGTCTTTCTCCAGTCGGTCCTTCACCTTGTCGTCAATGTTGGAGAAGTATTTCAGCCTCATCAAGATCTCCCTGGCCAGGGGATAGTTCCCTGAAATGAAAACACAAAGTTTGGAGATTTTTGTTTTCTATTTAGCATTGTAACTAGCAACTTACACACTGCCTGTCGACTGCTATGCTACTTCATTGTTGGAATGAAGTGAATAACTATTTATAAGACGGAATTTGCGTCAGGGTGATGTAAAATAAATATTGGAAACCGGGTACCCAATTGAAGTAAAACATGGGTACCAGGGTACCCGTACAAGAAACCCAACCGCAAAATTCAAATCACGGAAGTCATCTGAAGGCGTTTGTAGCTTTACGGTGTAAACGCCAACTTTCGCGAGCGTCATCTGTCCCGCGTTAAAATGCGCATATACTTGAATTCTGTTTTGGATTTTCATGTACATTGTAGCCTGGTTTTCATTTTTGAAATTTCTTCAAAATGGCATTGAAAACTTTTCTTTTTACATCGTATTTATGTTCATGAAAATGTTGGTAAAAGGGCTAAACCCATTATTGAATTAGGTGAATGTTTCTTGGGTTTAGAATTACTAATAATCTGGCTATAATGGGACGCATGCATGGGAAGAACTTACTTTCAGAGAAGGCCTGTGACAAGTTCTTCAGGAAAAATTCAAGTTTCACTGCAGAAAAAATAAAACACCGAATAAATATGAGACAACGTGAGCATGTTAAGCCAAGTAAAAAAAACCAAAAAAAACCCTAGTTTTTCATTCCCACCCTCTTCCTTTCCCCACCTGCATCTTTCTTTTTTTTTATCACACATTTGGAATATATTTTGTCTATTGTTTCCAGGGAAATTTTAGCTGCGTGTGCAATTTCAAAAACTGGTAGAAAAGATGGTGGATCCTTTGGACACAAAAGAATCAGCAAAACAGTTGAAAACAGGGAGAATCCATCCACCATCTTGGAAAATCTGGCATCCTAGGGGGAAAAAAAACACCCTCCTTTTTTTTCAAGTCCGGACAAAAACTGTTTTTTTTTTTTTACTTGGCCTTAGAGGCAAAGACCAAATAATTATGGTAATGAAGCCAGTTCACGACCAGGGGTAAACCCATAACATATCAATCAAATTCTTTAACCCTAACCCTACTCAATCCTCCAAAGTCCTCCAGGCGGTTTTGGAGGATTGAGGCTGAATACAACATACAATTTTGGAGGATTTTGGAGGATTGAGGGCACATGGACATTCAGTGTCGGTTGATGAGGATTGAAGCTGAGCGGATTTTGAGAGGCAGGGCTGTTGGAGGATTTTGAAGGATTGAGGCAGTGGGTATCCTTCATTTGAACATACATATAAGTGTAAAATTGTGGAAGATTTTGGAGGATTGAGGGATGTTCCTAGCAAAAAGGGCCCAGGGGTTAGGGTTAAACACAGCACTGATGTTTCGGTGTCAAATAAGATTTTAAATATTCAGTTTGTTCTTTCCTCCTAACTTTTCAAAACAAACTGAAATTGTGTGACTTTTTGAACAGGTATCGCACAAACACGAGATGAGACAGCACGTCGTGGAATACAAAGTATAAAGAACAGAACGAAAGGGCGCCATACTGGCAAGAGATATCTGAACACATTTTTTGGGGGATTTGTGAAAGATTGTAGGAACAGGAGTAGAAAGGACAAATCTTGATGAATATCTCTGAGTGCCAGTCTTCGGGACTGTTGACAATGAACGGATGTGACGAGACAGCAAAGTGAGTAGAGGGGAAAGTGGAAACGCATGAAATTGGTCTGGTTTCCTGACTACTGACCAGCATTTTCCTCTCCTATCCGTCTGACTGTGGCCTCCTCTTCCGTCTCTGCGAGCGTCTCATTGGTGTCCATTACTTCCATCAAGAACTCCGCTTCAATCCCGCTATCGCCTTCTTCGATCGTCAGACCATTCAACTCCAGCTGAGGCAGCAAAGCAAAAACAAAGCATATTTAAAATATTTTCCACATATTTAAAGGGGAATAACAGCTTAAAATCTCCGAAAATGTTGTGTTTTGGAATGTTTACTTATCCTTTTGCAAAGGTCTGGTTGAAAGGAAACTTACCTAATGTCTTACCGTTCCCGAAAAAAGACGTCAAAACCTGGTTGTTTACATCGGGCGCGACGGACATTTTGTGGCATACGCATACGTATTTCCAAGCACGTCCATGCAATGTACGGTCCATGTTATGTGTGAAACATGATACACACAGCCCCAATGCACACATATGTTGATTCTCACACATCCGCAGAATGCGATGCGCTGTGCGGCAGGATTCACAACCAGCACTCAACAGCTCGATTCCTGGGAGTCAAAATTTTGACCCCAGGAATGCGTTCACGCATGGTTCTCGTAAGAATAACACAAAACGCCCTGTTTTTAAAGGATGGTTGTGTGGACTACTTTTAAATGCTCTTTCCAATTAACATTATTTCGTTTAAAATGGATTTTGTGGCCCAATCGGGCACATTACAGGATGTAATGTCCCTTTAAATCAACGTCTGAAGCCAAGCAAGCAATATTTTTAGTAATAATCAGTGGTCAACATTCAAACTTGCAACTTCTTATTTGCAAATTACATAAAACAAAACAAAAATGTCGGTACAAAACAAACACTTAATTGACAACTGTAGAGTCCTATAAAATCCATTGAATGCACCAGGAAGTACGTATATGATAGTTTCGCTGCACAGATTGTCTATGGACTTTATGTACGGGCTACTTCACTTTGAGGTGGGGCAAATACCGATATGTCACTCCATGGTGCAACTAACGATTTCAAAAATGAATTGTCGAGATCGTTTGCCTTGTAAAATGTAACTGATAGTCCAGGTTTCACACAAAATTCATGACAGGCTGTGTGGTTTAGGGAACTATACAAACAGGAAAAAGAAAGTTGGAAGCAACCATGTTTATATGATAGAAGTTGTAATTACCAAGTAGAGTCCCCTGGAGAGTGGCTTCAGCAAGGTGCTGTATGCTTTGTTGACTTCTGACGACTGCATGGCTGAATAATCTTGCTCCTCCTGGATCAATGTAGAATTGTTCAAATTTCATCTTTCAATCTTAGCTTAAAGCTACAACATTTGCAAACATCAAAAAACAAAACTACCAAATTATTATGAAATACTTACTTGACTGTATGTGAATAATAGTCTCAAGCATCCTGTGCAATCATGGCACCTGGTGTGCTGTCATTTTCAAGATAAGTAAAATGTTGGTATCAGTTTCCAAAGATGGTCAGCCGACCATTGTTGGAAAAAACCTGACTTTTTGCATATATGCCCCCCCCCCCCCAATTTACCAAATTTAGTTTGTCCACATTTTGTTTGCAATTGGTTACACATCTTTGAACAGGTGCAAGCCAGCTAGTCTGGTTCCCTGACCTGACAATTCCCAGACATCTATAAATTGCTCCGTTCGGTCTGCAAAGTAGACTACAAGAACAACAATTTTTTGCTTGGTTTTTCCAAGATCTATGAACACAAAACTTTCAACAGGTCAGTGTAACAATATTTGCTATAAAATAATAACCAACCACCAAATCCATCCATTTCTGGAAATTACAGCAAAATCAAATGTTGTATATTATCTTTCATGCACTTTTTTTTTTGGGGGGGGGGGGGAACGTTATGGTGATGCATTTTTTTCATCAAATATTTTTGTTAAAATGTTAGTTTGGTACCCCTCTCAAAGAAAATTTGAGTGAAACTCATCCTGATATCAAAAGACCTCTGCTTTTTGTTTGAAAATGTATTTCTGCATGGCACAAACAAAATTTTAAAAAGTAGATAAATTATTTCATGCCAAACATAACAAAGAAACTATGACCAAAGTCTGTGCATCAGGATATCAACGGAAAATCTGTGGATGATTTTACCTTTGACATGACGCTGAACTTGTCAGGGTGCAGTTTTCTTTGCAGATTCCGAAATGTCTGCCTCAACTTTGCAGTATCAAGATCAAATGTCTCATCACTACAATAATTAGGAACAAAACAAAAAAGAAACAGTTAAAACAGGAATTTCTTGAACGAAGCAAAATATTTGCAAATGTGTTCACTTATAGGCACGTGACGTCGTAGGATCATTACCCGAAAACGTACCTTTACCCGAAAACGTACAGATTCAACAAGAAAATCTTTGCTCCGGTCAGGCATGCAATTTGGAATTTAAAAAAAAAACAAGGAAACACCAAACTACAAAAGACTTTGTATAGTATTTTTCAATTTGTAATGGCATTCATGAGAAGTAAAAAACGACGAAATCAGCGGATCCGAGGAGAAGTTGAATGCCTGACTGGTACCAAATACCATGTGAAACTATTCCACCTATCACTCTGACTGGGAAGAATACAATCATTGAAGTGGTTAAAGAAAATGTGCCAGTGAGCACCGTTTCTTTTTTTTTTAACGTGTGTTAGCCATGCAATCCAGTTACGAGACCCCCCCAAAAAAAATTCATACATTTTCTCTGTTTTCTCAAAATGTATAGAAATCCACAGAGTTGAACTTCAACAGGATAGTTGTTATGCACCCTTCTCCACATTTAGAGTAATTCTGTTACTTCAAACGGGAAAAAATGCACAAAAGACAAACGATCACCATATGTACCTTTTAACTACCGGGTATATACTTTGATTTGAATGGGACTACACACATGGAATGAATGGGAGGTCTGCATAACACCATGTGAATGACATCTCTTGTTTTCATGTCCACCATGTACAAAGTCTATGGAGAGTCGACTGCATTTTCAAAGTATTTTCTAACAAAATTGGACATGTTTGTCAGTCCCAGATTCATGTCTTTTCAACATTTTTGCAAGGACTGCCTCCATTGAGATAATATTAATATATGATGAAAAAAAATCCCATATCTGGCCATAAACCTATCATCCGTCAGAAAGTAATAATATGTCCTAAAAAGTCAAATTTAGCAGGGAAAATATTGAAGTAGGCCTATTTACCGAGAAAACACTTAGACATTTTCAGACCAGTCTCATATAGCATAGGGTTTGTGCACAAGGGTGGTGACAGACTGTGATGGCCAGATATGGGTATCTTTCCATGACGAGAATTTGTAAAGTTGCAGTAAATTCAAATTTGATAAAGTAAGTAGTCTACCATTGCATTGTCTGAAAGAAGTTGGAATCTGGATTCAATGGTTGTATAGCATTACACGCATCACAGAAGAACTGCACCTCGCTTTTATCCACCAACTCAGTCAACGCATGACAGTTCCAGCAAGTCCTCGATACGGTACAATAGAGTCTGAAATGAGCAGGCTGTAGAGACTGCTTCCCGACGGACAACACATTTCTACCAGTAGTACCACCCGATATCCCTGGATGCCCATCTTGAGGATTAAATGCGTAAGTCGAAAACGTGCGTCGGTGGCTGATCGACACTTTCGTCCTTGACGTTTGCCAACTACCGCCGGTTGAACAGATCTTACGTAACGTGTGATTCCAACGTGTCGTAGGCCTGCTTTCACAAATGTCATTGATTTTGGCGCCAATTGACCAGTGTCTTTCGATTTCGGCAACCTTGTTGGTGCATAAACTGTCGCTTATTACCCCATTGTGATTACTAGTAGGTTTCTGGGACGAAGCAATGCAGAAACGAATCAATTTCAGATCGCTTCTGACCAATTTGAAAACACTCATGGGCGCAGCCATTTTGAAAGATGACGCCCTCTTGCATTACGTTTATTCCTCGCATACGCGCATTCATCAGAAAAAAACTACACTGAAAATCTGTTGTACCGCCCTCATGTGATTCTTTAGCCCCAAATGGTTGGTTTTAGCATGATACTTTTTGAGCTATAAACACTTCATTTTATTAGCAAAATGGAAAGCTTGTACTTTCTTAATAAGTTTTAGCCGCCTTGATCTCACTTTTTTTAGCCTAATAATAAAACATTAATTAAACTTACCATAGATTTCAGTGGCGGATCCAGAATATTCAAAAAGGCAGGCATTGGGGAGGGGGGGGGGGGGTGGAAAACCAAGATTTGTCAAGGGGCGGGTCGGATGATAAACGTTGCAGTCAATGCATAGAAAGATCAATTCAAGGCTCAAAGCAGTGAATCAAGGTTAATTTGCAAATCTGAGTGATGCATGACGTTAATAATGGAATTTAAGCTGATTGGGATTTTCCCCATTTTGTGAATTATGTGCCATGGTATTTCCTCGTGTCTCTGATATCACTACAAGGCAAGGAAAAGGACCCTCCACCTTTAAAAATTGGGAAATAATACACTTTCCTCTGACTATATTGCATATACGTATACATGCATCAGACTTGAACATTGAGGGATGATTTTGTTCCTTTGTGGTAAATTGGAGTTGCCGTTTTGTTATTTTATTCCCACACAGTGAATCTACTACCAAAACCCGCACTACATGCACTAGGTCGGCAATGACAGCTGGAAAAGGGTCTAATTGGAAATTCAATGACGCTCAGGAAAGACGCTGTATTTTGTATTTATTGTATTAATTTTGTAAAAGAAGTTTGAGGATTTATAAGAGAACAGGTAGAGCTGATGGGGGAACGGGGGGACACGCCCACTGGAAATCCGCCGCATTTACGGTGAGATAGTCTTGGTCAAAGACTTTATTGGTTAATGTTCCTTAAATCCACCGATCACCGCTCATGTCTATCATGCCGCTGGCTGCGCTTGCCAAAGAAGTCCAGTCTTCGGCCAAGACTAACAAAACAGTTAGCGGCGCGGCACGGCGGCACGTGTTGATATGATGAGGTTGAACAGCTGTTGTTATGCGGTACGGTGCGCACATACGATCCGAACGTGATGATCGCATCACATCACAACTTTCTTCCACGATCAACTTGATGAAAAACCACCTTGGAACTATCCCACATCAAAGTGAAGTGAATAGATCGTGAGTATACTTAAATTCGTTATGTTAGTCCTTTTTATATAGATCAATCCTATTCGAAACAATGGAGTAAGCACGGTCCAGAAGGTTGTAAACAAATTAACCATAGGACTTCAGTTGTTCACAGGGTCGTCTAGAACGGGGACACATGGGGGCTAACGCCACAGAACACGGCGGTAGTCGTCGGCCGCTGGTGCATTGATATTGTTGTTTCGTAACAGGCACTGCCCATTCACTCGTAGTTTTAGTGAAGAATATGCAGTGTTTGGATACCACTTCTTCATCATGACTTTACTACCGATGAATGGCAAGTCATCGTGAATGTTTTGATAGGCCTAAATTAAAGTGGGCGTTTTGGGTTGTGTAAAACGTTTTCTTTTGATGTTTTATAGCGCTACAACTTTTGATTTTTAGTAAGTATTAACAGTGGCGTAGCCAGGAATTTTTCAGTGGGGGGTGGGGGGGGGGGGGGCGGCGCTGGGGGGGGGGGCTGGAACATTTCATGGGGGCGTCATGTAGATCAATGATATTTGTTTTAGAAACTCAAAATCTCAGTGGGGGGGCAACTGGGGGGCGACAAGGTTTCATGGGGGGGCTGTTGCCCCCCCCCCCCCCATGCCCCACGCCCCACCCCCCGTGGCTACACCACTGGTTTTAAATATTGCCGAGTTATGTTTGCAAACATACATTCTGTGCCAAATTGTCCTTTCAGCCAAAATCAATCAAGTGACTGTTTTAAACAGTTAAGAGCTCCCAGCTTACATAAAAATCTTAAAATTAATGTGGCCTGACGTTGCGAACTTAGCAAGTTCTTCTTCAGAGGCTAAAACAGAAATGACAGAGATACATACATTAACATGGGGGTGCACACAAACATGCAGGGCTGAAAGAAGAAACACAAAAGGAGGATTAGGAGGGAAAGGTGTGGAAAGATGCAGGGGAGGGTGGATGAGAGAACAAAGAAACAAAGGGTCTGGTGTAAACAGGGGAGGGACCAGAAAGGGGAAGGATCAAAGGTCACAGGGAGTGGGAACGGACAAAAGAGTGTGAGCGTGAAGGGATGATGCGGGGGGGGGGGGGGGGGACAGTATAGAGGTGGAAAGGGATGAAAGATGGCGGGAGATGTGTTAACACAAACAAGGAAGACCAGATGGATTATCTGTAACAGAGGACAATGGAGGAAGAAAAGGATTAATCATTTCCAAGTTGGATGTTGAGACCATGTGGTTGAATAGTTCGAAGACGATTCATCCACACCTTCTCTCTGCTGAGGCGAACTGACTCTTTGCGATGGCCAAGAGATTCAATGCCCTGCAAAATCATATCAGAAATGGAGTGGTTAGGCAGGTTGAAGTGATGACCAACAGGGGTGTCTAGTTTCTTGGTGTTGACCGTTGACCGATGGGCATAGAAACGCTTCTTGAGCGTATTCTTAGTCTCACCTACATACTGCACTCCACAGACCCTGCAAGAAATGAGATATATGACATTAGAGGTGTTACAAGTGATGTTACCAATGGTTCTGTGGGTAGTGACAGAAGAGTGGCCAGAAAAGGAGTCAGACTCCTGGATATGAATCTGGCAGACAACACATCTGGAACTGCACTTGAAAGTACCATGCTGGGTGGGAGGGGATGCATCTAAGGATGGGACTTCAGCTCGAACAATCAAGTCCCGTAGATTTTGAGGACGCCTGTAAGCCAATGTGGGGCCGTTGGGGATGGCGCGGGCAAGGCGATCTGAAGTATGGAGGATATGATGATTGTCATTAGTGATTTTGCGGAGGGGAGGGAGATTGGGGTGAAACGTGGTAACCAAGGGAATCATGGGTTTGGCCATGGCATCAGGGGCCTTTCCCGTGAGAGCTTGATTTCTGGGGATAGATTTAGCTCTGGCAATGGCACGATGAACTTGGCGAGAGCTGTGACCCCTGGCCACCAAGTTGTTCTTCAGTATCTGTGTATGGCGGGAGAAATCAGAATCATTAGAACAAATTCTTCTGAGTCTGAGTGCCTGGCTAAACGCTATGCCAGTTTTGCAGTGCCTGGGGTGACAGCTGGAGGAGTGGAGGTACTGGTGGGTGTCTGTGGGTTTGGAATACAGGTCAGTGGTTAGTGAGTTGCCTTGCTTGCGGACGGTGACATCCAGAAAGTGGGTTTGGTGAGCCGAGAACTCCGATGTGAATTTGATGGTTCTGTGGAAGGAATTGATGTGGTTAGTGAAGGTCAAGAGACTGTCCTCATCACTGGTCCAGATGAAGAAAACATCATCAATATATCTCCACCAGATCCAAGGGCGACATGGGGCCGAGGCAAAAATGCGTTCTTCGAGGTCACCCATGAAGAGGCAAGCCATCGACGGGGCCATGCGAGTGCCCATTGCAGTGCCGTGTACCTGTAGATAGTGTTCACCAAGGAAGGAAAAATTGTTCTTCGTTAGTATAAGTCTCATGAGGGTGCCAACATCACTGATGGGAGGAGTCGTGTGTCCTGCCTTGGCCAGAGCCAAGGAGCAAGCTCGAACTCCCTCCTCATGTGGGATGTTGGTGTACAGAGATGAGACGTCGAAAGTCCCAATGATGGCTGTGCTGGGAATCTGGTCCTTGATTCCTTCAAGCTTGCGTAGGAAGTCTGGGGTGTCGTGAATGTATGACGAAATCTGTGGGACAAGGGGTTTGAGAAAACTGTCAATGAACAGGGAGATGCGTTCTGTGGGTGAGCCATTACCGGAGATGATGGGTCTACCGGGGTTGCCAGCCTTGTGAATCTTGGGTAGCAGGTAAAATCTGGCAGTCCTACAATCACAGGGAGAAAGAAATTTGTGAGCTTTCTTCGACAACTGGTCACGTGATCGCATATCGTCAAGTACCTGTTGTATAACTTGACAGAAAGTGCCTGTGGGGTCAGAGTCAAGGCGGGTATAGTTAGTGCGATTATCCAACTGGCGGTGGGCCTCATCAATGTGGCCTCGTCAGGCCACATTAATTTTAAGATTTATATATTTCAGGTCCATCCAGTCAGTAAGCAGTTTGCAGCAGTTTTACTTTTTTTCAGCTTACATAAAAGTTAAAACAGGCTTGACTGGCTGTGACTGTTATGCAACCTGATGCTTTGACTAAGCCAGCTGTGCTACTTTAATACCAGTGCCAGGCACTTGTCTGTTGAAATAATTAGATTTGACTAGTCACAGTGCTTGCTAGAAATATAATCTGACTGACTGTAAAACTAAAAGGCATGGCACGGGAATAGGACTGGTTTTTTTGACTGTCTGTGACTGTTTAGATATCAGTTGATTTGTAAATTGTGTGAGCTGGAGTTGAAGGAGGAACAATGTGCAAGCTTTATAAGTTCTTACAAGATTTCTTTCTACATTGCAAATATAGCATTTTACTTTTAGCTATAATACTATAGTATTATTGAATATTTTTTTCGGGGGGGGGGGGGGGGGGTATAAAGATGTGCAACCAGAATCATATGGGGTTTGAATATAGAGCAAGGAACAGACAGGTTATTATGTATGGCCACCAGCTTTAGCTGTCAGCAAACATGTATGGATCCGCCCAGCTGTGAATGAAATACTTGGAAGTTGAGGAACTTTACACATATTCAGGGTTTATTGACAAAGACCACTTTTAATGTATGTCAACTAGTTTAAGGGGCCCTTGGTAATAGCAGGTTTTAACTGAATAAATAATAAATAAGATAAGACCCAGCAGAGAGGTGTGTGGAAGGCATGATGTACTGATTAAATGCCTTGAGCAGGGATTTGCACGTAATACAATACAACAAGGACGTCTCAAAACCTTGAAACT